GAAGTGTAAAGTGGAAGGGTGTTCATTAAAGATTTGTGCAAATGCTGTTAGGAGGGATACTCTTTTATTACGCATGACTACATTCATTCAGCGCCAGACAATTTGGATATCACTTATGCTGGCAATGCTACATTGATGTCATCAATAAGACTTGAGGAGATAAGAAACCATACCGAAAAGCGTCCTACTAAAATAAGGAAGACACTGGAAATGGAGTATGGTGTGAGGCTAACATATGCTCAAGCTTATGAAGCAAAGGAAGAGGCTATGGAACACATATATGAGAAAGCAAAAGAATCCTATATGTTCATACCATGAATATGCCAAAGATTGAAGGAAACTGATGATAAAACAGTATTGAATGGGTTACCGTTGGTAATACATTTGAGCAGGTTTTCATTGCATACAGTTCATGTATTGAGGGTGTTTTGAATGGTGCAAGGGCTATATTATATGTTCATGAAACTCATTTAAGTGGTCTATATAAGGGGACACTACTCTCAGCATCGGGATATAATGCAGATAATGACTTGTTCCTTTTTGCAATAACAGTGGTGAAATCAGAGAATCTTAATGACTAGACTTGGTTTCTGTACAAAATTAAACAAATCATTGGTTTGGTGCAATTGACGATTGTATCAGACCGACACAATTCCATAATAGGAGATGTTTAAGCAATATTTAGAGGTGAAAGGTATACGTATTGTTATAGGCATTTGAAGGAAAACTTCAGTGCTGAACAAGTGAAAGTAAACAGAGGTAAAAGGATAAGCCAATGTTCAAAAAAAAGATGCATTAAAGGTTCTTAATAGAGTAGCTTATGTGAGGGTTGACAATGAATTTGATCATACAATGGTAGGGCTGAGAACTATGTCTCCCGAGTTACATGAATGGGTTATCAATCAGGGTGATGTGAATAGGTGAGCAATGAGCAAGTTCCCATTTAAAAGATGGGATAACATAACAACCAATATAACTGAGTCTTTCAATGCTTGAATGGTGAAGGAGAGAAAGCATAATGTGGTCCAAATGATCCATGAGCATCGGAAGAAAGTAGCAAGGAAGATGAATGTATCATATGTGGCAATGACTAAGTGGAGGAATTGTGTTGGGCCAAAAACCGAGTCAAAGGTTCTAGAGAATGTGTATTTCAGTAGGTATGTGAGCTGTGACAATTATGGAGGCAGAAGACTGTGTATACATACATCTCGTGGAGACCAAAAACTAGACCTTGATCTACAATAATGTAGTTGTCTTGGTTGGCAAATGTCAGGAATTTCCATGCTGCTATGCTTGTGCAGCCATTAAGACTGTGGGGGGGAATGTATATGAATATGTTGAATACTGTTACAGAATTTCAGCACAGGAGAAAATATATGGCATGAGCATGGTTCCAATGGTGACAATCAATATGCCTAACCCAAATGACTATATGTTTGAGAATCTTGGTGAACAAATCCTGTTTTTATCACTAAACATAACTAGGCCTCCTGGAAGACCAGGAACTAAACAACGAGAATCACAATTTCAAAACAAAAAAGTCTACTATTGCACTAGATGCCACCAACTTGGACACACAAGGAGGGCTTGCAAAAATCCTAACCCATCTTGAAATTAATTTCTACAAGAGATAACAATTTTTTTTGTGTATATATGCTCCACCCTTCTTAATTTTTTTAGGAGAAGGGCATTGTTAAATTTGCATAGCTATACAGCTATTTTTACAAGTAATATGTTTGGTGACAAGAGAAAATGAAGTCTATAGGTATTGTTAATGTCCTTTTGTCATTGACTATTGCAAACTCTGATTGTTGTAAACGGACCTTTGACTTTTTGTTAATTGACATAGTATTACTGTAAATTCCTTTGGTTGTATTGTAAATGTAGATTGCTTACTTTGATGTCAACAAAATCAGATTACTATCAAACCCCTTGTGGTTTGTGGTTAATTGACATAGTGTTGTTGTAAATTCCCTTAGTTGTATTGTAAATGCACACTGCTTACTTTTATGTTAATAAAATCAGGTTGCTATCAAACCACTTATGGTTTGTGGTTAATTGACATAGTATTGCTGTAAATTTTCTTGTTTATGTTGTAAATACACACTACTTATTTTTATGTTAGTAAAATCAGGTTGCTATCAAACCACTTGTGGTTTGTGGTTTGTGGTTTGTTGGCATACTGATATTGCCAATTGGTTAACCAAAGTTGTTTTTTGATAAGTTGAAGTTGTCACTCGTTAAACAAAAGTGGAAATAGTGTCATTTGAATAGGAAAAAATGAACTTCATTAATTCCACTTTGAAAGTTGTTATTTGGTAAACTAAAGCTGTCACTCCTTAAAGAAAAGTGGAAGAAGTGTCATTTTAACAGGAAAAAATAAACTTCATCAATTCCACTTCAAAAGTTGTTATTTAACAAATTGAAGTTGTCACTCATTAAAGAAAAGTAAAAATAGTATCATTTCAATAGAAAAAAAATAAACTTGATATATTGCTTAACCGTAGTTGTTATTTGGCATACTGAAATTGTTACTTGTTAAAGAAAAGTGAAAATAGTATCATTTGAACAGGAAAAAAATGAACTTCATCAATTCCACTTTGAAAGTTGTTATTTGACAAACTGAAGTTGTCACTCATTAAAGAAAAGTAGAAATAGTGTCATTTTAACAGGAAAAAAATGAATTTCATCAATTCCACTTCAGAAGTTGTTATTTGGCAAATTGAAGTTGTCACTCATTAAAGATAAGTGGAAATAGTTTCATTTCAATAGAAAAAATGAACTTCATATATTACTTATCCGAAGTTGTTATTTGGCATATTGAAGTTGTCACTCGTTCTGTCAATCAAGCGCCTATGATAAACTTGTTATTTTCTCCACAAAAGTTGTTAAACCTTTAAACTCAACTTGTTATTCCCACTTACTTATCATAATTGTTATTTCTAATCATACACTAATCATTTGAAATGATAAACTTATCAAATTGTCATACTCAGCTTTGTTATTCAAATAATTCATTTCCTATTATCAACTTCTAAATTCCACATAGCAATCTTGTTATTCACTATTATAAACTTGTTATTTCCTATTACCAACTTGTCAATTTCGCATTGACATCTTCTTATTCCTAATTAATCAATAACTTGTCACTTACTATTCTCAAGTTGTTATTTTTATAACTAAACTTGTCAAATCCCACTGTCCATCTTTCATTTACAACAAAACACACTTAGTACCTCTTCAATTCAATTTACACTTTACCCAATCTTGTGTCGTTTTTTCCCCAACTATTATTGTCATCTACAAAACTGATATTGTCATTCCCTCCCCACACAAACACCATTCCCACAAGTTATTTAATAGAAAAAACATATATTTTTCATAGTAAAACATTCTTCATCACTCAATCACAATTGGGTACTTCTACTTTCCTACCCTAAACTCTTTTCCTCTCGCCAATGATTCACAGATTCTTGCAGCAACCAACCAAAACAAAATTAGCCATCAAACTTCCCACAATCAGTCGTCTAATGTAGTTGCTAACTCTGTCACCAAAAACGATTGTTGCCCCATTGTTCAATGATGCCTTCGCCTTCTCTAAACCCTTCCACAATGCTGATAAACCACTACTCTGTTCACCTCTGTCACAGTAAATATGCACTTTGCGATTACAACACTCCTCTCCACATTACTCTTATGGCAAAATGGCGGTAAGCAAGTGCACGAAAATGGAGAGAGTGGGGGGAATGTAGAGAAGAGTGGGAAGTTATCAATAGTGCAGGGACTACATGTCGCGGTTTCAGTTTGTTCAAATTACTAAGAGGCAATTTTGTCTTTTCACCAATATTTGCTATTTGCAATTTAAGATTGGGTCCCTCATGGCAATTTGGCTTATTTAGGTGACCTTCTTGTAATTTTGGTAATTCAAGAGTCTTTATTTGTCATTTTTCCAAAAACTTAAGACAAGTTTCTTCTATCTATTATGTCAAGTTCTCTAATTATACATAGTCTTGTGCTTCTTCTTTTTTTTGTCTCATATGACTTTGTAACTAAATGCTAATATTTAAAAAAATATGACATATGTTAATATGTGATTGGAAAACTTGACATACCAGATATAGAGAACTTGATTAAGTATTATCCTGTAATATAGTAAAATTACACATTTACATGAAAATTTTAATGATTTACAGTTTTTTTCTTCTTAGTAAAACATGTTAAAGTAACTCACAAATAGGACAAAAGAAATGTATAATAATTTTTATCTGGTTCAATATACACTTTATCCCAACAATATAAAGTCTACATAATAAAAAATTAAGGATAAATTTGATATTTATGTAAAAAAATTTAATAATGTCATTTATAATTAAGATGATAAAATTTTTCTCCCTTATATATAATCATTAGAGGAATATATGATTATTTATAAAAGAAAAAAATGCAATGTTTATTTTTTAATTATAAAGATGAAATAGTTGGAGAAAAACAAGATGCTTAAAATAGGAAATTGAAAGATTGAAGAAAAGAATGGAGAAATGCGGAAGTGGGACCACCGCAGGGGGAGTGGGGGGCCACATGAATGGTAAAATGAGGCGCAACGGCGCCGTTTCAATGCTGAACATTAGGTGCTCATCGATTGTGGACTCGGGATTTAACCACTTTACACATATCTCATTTTAATTAGAAAAGAAATTTAGCTAAAATGAGATAATTTTATTAAACTTATCAATAACTTAAATGTGACTAGTTTTCAAAATTACTTCCCATCTCTCTTTCTACCTTGTCCTATTATTGATGATTATTGTTGGAATATGGGTTAATTATGGTATATTAGACCCAAACCCATTTAAGGTCATTGAATTCTTTTTTTATTCTAATTGTAATTCTCCCTAATAAAAACTACCACGTCTTGAACCTCTCATTATTCTTAACTTTCCTTTATAAACTATTCGGAGTTCAACTCTGAGTGCATGAAATATTCAGGAAACCGGGTTAGCTGAGCATGACAAAAATCTTGGACTCATTTTCTCACATAACTGCTACATTGTGCCCCACTTTACAATCTCAGCACCAACCCAAAAAAGAAAAGACAAAAAAGTTAATTGAAAAAACATAGCATTTGAGGGTCTCACGAGGTTCTCGTGACGAGACTCAGTCTGCTAGAATCTAATGTATAATTTCTTCGTGATTGTACTGCTTCAACTTAACACAACGCATATGAAACCAGAAAATAGCATATCAGAATTTACACAACTCATTTTATTGTACTTAGAAGGTCCCAAAGCCAAAGCATATCTTTTAGCACAGTTCGGGCCGCTTCAATTAGTGGATGGACGAGGCAGCCTTTTGGCAATTTCCTGTAAGAAAGGAGCAACTTGTTAGTTTTCTAAAGCTAGTTAGAATTTCCAAATTCATCACCTTTGAACATTGATTTCATAGATGCATCAGCTGATGTTTGGCTCATGGAAAAGGACATGGAAAGGGGAAAAAATTAAACTTTTCCTGTGATTCAGAAAATCTATTTTTATATACTTTCTCATCCAGTGTCCTCAATTCAAACATACCAACAAAAGAATGTTAGATTTAATTATTTAAATCTAAATCAAGAAAAATGTCCAGTTTTAAATTTTCCTTTTCCTTCTCATCTCCTCCAATTTTCTCAAGCCAAACAAACCCTTGAGAATCCCTGACCATATAATTAGTGAAAGTCTAGCAACAAATATTCTGACGCAAACAAAGAATTTGCTAATATAGTCCCTAATAATGGTGATATTATGAAGAAGTGCAAACATAGCCATTGCTAAATGATCATAATAACCACTTACTGAAGCATAATTTTTAACAACATGCTGATTTGCAGCATAGCATCGCATTTCATAATTCATTCTGACATTGAACTTTAATTGGAAGCAGATAAATGTCAACAGTACCTCGAACAATTCATTTATATTATCTGCTGTCTTCGCAGAGGTCTCAATAAAGAACATTCCATTCTTCTCGGCATAGTCAATGCCATCCTGTACGAAAAATACACAAGCACAATACGTGGGATAACAAGTGTTAACTTTTATCTCATTCGACAAGTCAAAATATTGAGAAAACACCGTACTACCTGAACAGGCACTTCCCGCTGCTCATGAAGATCAGCTTTATTACCCACTAATGCCAAAACTATATCAGAACTTCCATGCTTTTGCAGCTCCTGCAAATGGTGAACATATCATCTGCTAAAAATATCAAAGTAATAATATTTCACAGAAAAAGTAGGAACCTAGGACTGTTTAGCTTTAGCCATGTTGTTGCGCAGTCAAGCACTTATTTAACAAATATAAAAACTATTTCAATAACTGTGATTATATCTAACCAATAAGAAACATCATTTTTGATGGAGCAGCAGAAGCTTTTTTTTCCCTTTTCAATTCTTTGATGTGTATGAGGAACAAGAATTTGAATCTTACACTGAAAGAAGAAGTTACAAATGGCAAGGAGGTAAATTGTTTTATCCCTAGTTTTGAGCCAATCAAAACAGTTTTTGGCATAAGTGATCCTCCTGATAGAAGGAAAAAAGTCATAGCAAGACCCGACAGGCATGGTGCATAAAAGCAGGTGAGCATTGAAACCATATTGGATATTCATGGCTGTTGTAAGTTCCATGAATCAAATTATCAGGGATCTTTTTTTTTTCATTCCTTTGGCAACACTATCACCTATAATGGCCCACAAAGGCCAACAAAGGCACTATGTCAAAAGGGAAGAAGTGCACGTTTTTTAATCTCTGTAAGTGGCTGGTAAATCATTACAGAACACACAAGTCACAAGTGCGGGAAAAGAAAGAAATTGATACTGTTTCACTTTACTAAATAACAGGCGAGATGTGGACTATAAAACAGATCTAGCTAGCAATTGTTTCATATATATTGGCCCTTTGCATCAAGTTATCATCAGTTTATTGTATAACAATTGACTTCCACCTTTTACGCTCATATATACCTGCAATAAGTTTATATTTTCTGCTGTTCTTTAACATTTTCTATGGTTATTACAAAGTTTGTTTCAGCCTCCATTAGCGTTTCACAGTCCACACTTTCTAAATCACATATGATAGGTTCACAAAGCTTAGTCTGGTTCTCTTTCACATGTCATATCCCTCTGAATGAATTATCTTATCATACCCTATCATACCATAAGCAGGCAGCGAGGGCCTACATATCCTAGCACTCTCCTCAGCACAAGTAATCATCCAAAGCATGGTTAGAGACAGAACAGTTAGATCCTTTCCTTATTCAGTTAATCAGTTCACAGAAATCAAACCCCTTCATAGGTTTCCAAGTAGTCAGGTATTAAGTGACTCACGGATTCCATCTGTGACAATTAGAAACCAAGCAAGTGGATCAACGAATAAATGTACTCTATAATATGCTGAACACTTTCAGTGCCCAGACTGCAACCCAGTAAATTGTCCCCATACCAGAGAAATAACTGCTAACAAAATAAAGAGTGATATAAACACCTTGTGATAGCTGAAAATATACCTTGACCCAGTACTGTGCTTTGTTGAAAGATTCTGGACTGGTTATGTCATAGACAACAACAGCAACAGCTGCACCTCTATAATACAATGGTGCCAGTGACGCATACCTGTGCAGCATAGTTTTAATCAACTTCAATTATCCCTGTCATTCAAATAAGGAGGGACGGGATAATTAATAAGAGAAAAAACCTCTCTTGACCCGCAGTATCCCATATTTCGAACTTGACCGTGGTAGAGTCTTGCAAAGCTATTGTTTGAGACAAAAATGAAGCCCCAACAGTTACCTGATATAAACCAGAAAAAATAAGCATATCTCCATACAAATGAATGAACCAAAGTAACCTTATAAAGCAGCACAAAAGAATTACTTCATATCATTCAAAATGACATAAACAGTCAGTAAGAAAAGTAAAATATCCTTTACCTTGGATGTGGGGTCAAACTGACCACGGACAAATCGTAGAACAATGCAGCTCTTACCAACACCAGAATCACCTAACAAAACAAGCTGTATTCAGTGACATTAAAGGTTAGTTGTTGGGTCCTTGGAAAGTTAAATATTGTTATATTGGTGCTATTATACTATTTATATAAGTAATTTATAAGGAACCACTTAAGTAATTGATATATGGCTAAACACCATCCCACATGCAGAGACTGTAATGCATGTAGTTATGAAACCCTTGCATCTCTCTTTCTCAATATTATTAAGAAGCACTTAGTGGTCTCCAACCAATGACCTCTCATATTCAAACTGAGGGAGTGGTTTCCTATAGGGTGGAAGTTACTGACCCATGAATGCGATGTGTTTTAGCAGCATGCACCCAGCAGGCCAGCACTTGTACATAACCAAGTACTTACGTGCCTTCATGGTTTCAGCCAGAAATGAAGTTACAATAGTTATAAGGGATAATTCATTTTCATCTGTTATCATATTTCTATTATTTTATTTTTCAAAGGCCACATTACTATTAGCAACAGCAATACATTCTTAAAGCCTAACAGGGCATGTTGGAGTCAGCAAAGTAAGCGTACAAAATATTTCAATTCGAAGGATTAAAATTAACAGTAGTTTTTTTTCCTTTTTTTTTTTGGGGGGGGGGGTTGTATTTTTCAATCTTGGGAAATGAATGATTGCATCCAAATTCCAAATCAAATCAGAGCTAACCACCCCGAAAATAGAGTCTGCCCTATAGAGGAAAAGTTTGAAACGGTACAGGACAAGCGATTTTATAATTTTAATGACTGAAATAGCAATGAAAATAATTCCAATTAAACCAGAACTAACTGAATGGAAAGCCAGGATACGGATATTTCCTAATTATGCACGAAAGATCACCAGATCAGCATTGTTCCTCTCCTCACTTTGACTTCCTCAGTCAACAATGAATTTTAAATTACAAAACATAAGATGATAAAAACTCTTTGCAAAAGGTCAGGGTTCCATGTTCGTGAAAATGAAGAAAGCCAAAATTTGCCCATAAGTACCTTAACACGTAGATTCTTTGCGTCCTGCCCTCCACCATTCTCCGAATTCGCTCGACCCAGTTGATTGGAGCTCCTCTCTGTAAAACAAAGAATCAATATACCCAAAGTTCAATCAAAACCACAAACCGACAACAGCTTTAGATGAACAGCTAATGCACAAAGGACCAAACCCTATCAAATGAAAACCATAAAATCAGCAATCGAACCCCACAATCAAACAAAAGTACAGTTGTTCAGCTCACAAAATCAAATTTCGTAAATTGCAGGATAATTTCGTCCGTTTCCAGGAAGGAAAAAGAATTGGATGAGATGATCAAGTATACTTAGATGCATAGATATAAAAATAAACAAGAAATTTACCAGGAACGGATGAAGAGCAACCCATAGCGAGCCGAGACTTTCGGAGTGCAAACAAAAATACGAGTACAGTGAAAAAATAAAAATTGAAGCAGAAAAGGATCTCAATGCCCGCCTTCTCGGGGTGGAATTAGGATGTTTAGTGGCAGATGCGCTGACTTCAATTTTGGACTACCTTGCTCTACACTAGAAGCACAATCTGGTAGAATTGAACCTATGTTCTTGGAAACTTTTGAGAAATCCATTACGTTGTCTACAATCATGCTTTATATTAAATTAATGGCTGATGACTTGAGATGCACCTTTTCATTCTTGTTCGTCCTGATTAAATTATTTCATTATAAAAAATGAGGAATAATAAACTAATCTCTCAGCATTATAGATTCTTTGACCAAAAAAAAAAATACTCCTCCTGTGCTTAACCTCCTTAATATAAAAATTAATTATTGAGTTAATTTTAATCTAAATATAAGACTTATTTATCATATTTATAATTTTTTAAATTATCTTATAAATACTCTCTCAACCATAATCAAGTAGAAGAAGGACAAGAGATATTAAGGAAGATAATTATGGTGTTTTAGGAAAAATATGTCAAATTTTTTTATAATTAACTAACTTATCTAACATCTTTAATTTAATCAAATTAATTAAACTGGTCTTATATTAAGAACACGAGGAGTATTATAGATCATTTTAATCTTGGGAATAATAATATTTACGAAGAAAATGTGAGTATCTGAAAAAAAATTTATGTCACCAATATCACCCTCAAATGTAATAAAATTTTACTAAAAATGCTCTCACGCTAATCTAATTTAAAAAAAAAAAAACTATCTTATAGACTTTTCTTTCTTATTCATTGGAAAAAGATAGATAGAGAAGAAAATGACAAGAATAACAAACTTTAAACTATCAAACATGTGATTATTATTTTTTAAAAAAAGCAACAAACATTTTAAAATATAAGGAGAGAAAAATAACATGGAAGACTTTTCATTTTAAAAGTAATTTTATGGTATATAAAATAAGTATAAGAATACAAGGAAAAAAATTTCTTGACTTACAGTAAAAATATTTTTTAAGAAATTATAAGAGTTGTCTTTTTTTTTATTTGCCAACAAATTATAAGAGCTGTCAGACTACATGGTTTTGACTCACTTCTCTGCGACCTACCATTCATGCTAATGTTCCATAAACTCCGTGATGTCATTCTTTCGATTATTAAAATGTATTTTCTCTCCTCAAATGCAAACTCCTGAAAATGCCCCTAATTAATTAGAGACTCATAAGGGGTTTTAAACACTAACCAAGGATAAAATATAAAATGATCTTGTTTCCCTGAGAAAAAATACTACTGTCGGGGTAAAAAAAAAAAAAAGCTCAAAATGGTGGCAAAAAAAAGTTTCAAACACTTAAAAGGATGTGGAGGTGAACAACAAAATGGATAAAAAGAGCCAATCATCTCATAGTTTAATAGTCTTCCGGTTCTTAATATAAAACCCATTTAACTAATTTGATTAGATTAAAAAAGTTAAGTAAGTTGGTTAATCATAAGAAATATGATATGTTTTTCCTAAAATACCATAATCATCTTTCTTAATACCCCCTCTCTCTCTTCTATTTAATTATGGTTGAAAGAATATCCATAGGAGTAATTTAGAAAAAATTGATAAATATGAGAAATAAGTCTTATATTTAAGACGAAAACCAACTCAACAATTAGATTCTATATTAAGTACCAGAGGAGTATAAGACCTCATTTGACTTTTATTTTGGTCTTAAATATAAGACCACAATCTACTTTATCTCTCATATTATTTTTTTTCAAGATAGCCCTTCTAATAATGGTAGTTCTAGCTAACAAACTTAATTAATAAGGATATTTTAAGAAAGATAACACATATTTATTACAAATAACTAATTTAACTTATTTTCTTAATTTACTCAGATTAGTTAACTAACTCTTTAGGATTGGAAGCAGTAGTATGAATGTTTCCTGCAAGTGAGAGACCATAGATTCAATCCTATTTATAACATAAAATTATTACTATTTATTCCTATAATTTAAAAACAAAAATGGCAGAAAGAAAAGGAAAAAAAAGAAGAAAAGGGAAATACAGAGCCAAAAAAAATTAAAAAAGTGAACATAAGTAGTATAAAAATGAAAAATTACTGTTGATTTCACTGGAAAGAATAATGAAAAGTACTAAACTTTACAAAAGATCAGATTTTTTGGTAGAAAAAAATAATATTTTTATGTAAGTAATAATGGTGAATAAAAACATAGATTTCAATTGACTTATTCTCAAAATTAAAAAGGCCCAAAGATTTTTTGCAGCACGGGTGCGTGCCCACAATATGTTAAAAGTTGTGGACTTGATTTCAGTGGACTTGGGGGACCTAAAACAAGTGTGCAGGAATAAAAAATTCTTCCCGTCCGCTCACGTGAGCATCCAACTAACCCAATTTTTTTTCCGCACCCAAAAAAAAAACGTTTTTTTATCCTTCACTTATTGGAGCCTTGGGTATTCTAAAAAGTTAAGGGTTAAAGTGTAATTTTATCATAAAAGTTTTTATTTAGGAGTATAGGTTATCTGAAAGTTTTTTTTTTTTATGCATATCTGTCCCAAAAATTTAAAATCATAACAATATTATTCTCTACTGTTAAAATATCAACATTAACATTTAAATAATGACATTGATTGTTAGTATTTATAACAGTATCACTATGATTTTAAATTTTTAAGATAAATTTGCACAAAAAAATTTTAAATGCCTAGCACTTCTGATAAAATTTTCAGAACAAATTTACACCTTAATCATGCTCTAAATTATCAAATGGTAATATGAAATCCTTAAAATAATTACTTTTGTGTTTTACCAAATAAAGGTCCCTCACGTATTTAACTCATACAGTGTAAAGGTGTTCTTTTAAGTTCATCCAAACAAAGAAAGATTGACATATATGTGCCTCTCATACCATGTAGTTTTGTTATATTTGCCTATTTGGCTCCCGCGGTCCCTCTCATACCATGTAGTACTTCCGGTCCTAATTATAAAAGCTAGTTGACTAATTTGAGGAGATTAAAGAAGTAAGTTGAGTTAATTATTTGTCCTAAATAGGTATTGTCTTTCCTAAAATATCCTTACTAATCAAATATATTGACTAGAACTTTTATTATTAGAAGGACTACTTTGAAAAAAAATGTATAAATATTAGAAACAAAGTGAATTGGGATTGAGGACCAAAATAAAAATCAAATAGGATCTTATATTAAAGATCGGAGGTAGTACTAGTAGTTAACGGGCGTTTGTTTCCTTTAAACGACAATGGTAATATTACAACGTTTAAAAAAAAAATTGGGTAAAATTCGTAGCGTCTGGGAGCATATAATGTATTTAATATAGATAAAAATATAAAATAAAAGAATAAAAATTATATTGCACTCATATCCTTAATATAAAATTTAGATGACTAATTTAAGTAGATTAAGGAGTTTGTTAAATTAGCTATTTGTAATAAATAGGTTTTATCTTCCTTAAAATACGCTTACTAATAATGTGTATTAGCTGTGACTACTATTTGATAAAATATTTAACATATGCAATTATTACAATGACTACTTTGAGAGGAAAAAAAAGATAAATATAAGAGACAAAATAAATCGGAGTCTCACATCTAGGACTAAATTAAAAGCCAAACTAGTTTTTATATTAAGAACCGAAAATAATACTACATTAATGCTTAGAAGATTTAAGGTTTGACAATATTTAAATTTCACATGATAACATTATAAATCAGATACCATATTAAAAGAAACTACTACTTCCTGTTCTAATTATAAGAACTTATTTATAGACTATAAACAAAATTATATAATTAAAACCGGAGGTAGTAATACATTACGGGGGTGAATGAAAATTCCATATTGTGAATAATGTGTTTGAAAAATAATTAAAAAATTTATTGTGTTCTCACTTCTCTGTCGCAAATCAACGTAAAAGTTTGAAAGATAAGATCATAGTGCCCATTAAAAGAGAAGTTTGATTTTTAGATTAAATGGTCCATTACTTCCGTATCACAAGTTTTTGCATAAAAAGCTAAGAAACATGTAATCTTTCTTTTTTAAGGAACGAACGTAGGCCTTTGGTTTGTGAACAATACCATCTTCTCTCCTTTATTTCTATATTCTAATATACTACTTCCTATTCTTAATATAAAGTCTTATTTGATTTTTATTTTGATCCTAAATATAAGACCTTAATCCATTTTATCTATCATATTTATACATTTTTTTCAAGAAAATCCTTTTAATAATGGTAGTTCTAGCTAATAGGACAAATTCATAATTTAGAAAAGATCCGATACCAAGTGACAGCACACCAGCTGGTCGGTGTGAATGAGAAATAAGTGAGTCTTTCTGGAACGCCACATCATAGAATAGCAACATCTTTCTTATTACAGCACAAAGCACAAAAGACTACACTTGATCGATAAGGATATTTTAAAAAAGATAACATATATTCATTACAAATAACTAACTTAACTTATTTTCTTAATCTCTTCAAATTAGTCAACTAGTTCTTATAATTAAAACCGACGGTAATATAACTCTTCCAAATAATATAATGACAAATCAATGCACTGAAACAAGAACACGTAGACTAGACTTGAAACTGAGATAATGTATTTTTTTGAAGTTACTCAAATATATAGTTAGTATACTTTGTACTCAAGACTATCTGCTATTTCCTTCAAAAGACATCTACCAAAACTCGTCATGACAAATGCAGCAGTGAAGTATGAATTCAGTCACCAAGAACTGTAACTGCAAAACTACTGTCTAGGCATTCCTTGAGCCCAAAATAAGCAGCCTAAGCATATAAATTATAGAGAGAGGCAGAGACACACACATGCTGATACAAAGAATAAAACATATATTTAATTCCTACTTTCGGTTTTTAATATAAAAACTACTTATAAATTTAATATGATTTTAAATATAAGATCTTAATTGATTTTGTCTCCTATATTTAACGATTGTGTCTTCGAGTAATTTTTATGGTAATTTTACGTGTTAAAGGGTTTCTATCAAGAGTGTTCTATTTCTAATATACATGATTAACAATGATATTTTAAAGAAGATAATACTTATTTATTATAAATAATTAATTTAACAAATTTTTTTATATTCATAAATTAGTTATCTAA